TCCCTTAGGGGTAACTGCCTTTCTCCCAGTTCCTAGATGTTAATTTGCTTTGTTGAAGAGAACTTCCTGATTGAAGACCAGATAGGAGTAAAGAGTAATATTGCCTTGGAGGACTTGAAACAGCATTTCAGCATGAGTTTGACTGCACAGAACCTCAAGTGGAGATTCAGTCACTTGCACAGATAAGGAGGCCAAATGGGTTAATTAACCTGTGTTTACAAAATACAGTGCATTCCTTTGTACTGTTTAAAATTGTGGAGAAGAAAGCACCACTGATTAAGATGCAGTTTCATGAGGTGTTGCAGCTGATCTGTCCCAGTCTGTCCTATGTCCTTTGTCATAAAGGTTCATGACCAAGCCATGGACCCTTGGCTGCATGTTCTTACTCTGTCCTTTAAGCCAGCTCTTGGAGTAATTCAGTTGGGCAGATGAGTAAATGCCTTTGAAAAAACAATGTTGTGTGGGCATGGGCTTGTCTTTTTGGACATGTTGGTGTGAAAACTGATGCCAAGGCAAGAAAGGGGTAGTGGGGGATGGCCAGAGGTGGGGGAGGGACAGCACAGTGTAGGTTGTCTTGGGTTGCTCTTGAAAGCTGAGCCAAGTTTTGTGAGCACTGCATCTGGTTGAGAACTAGGTGGTACAGTATTGCTGAAGTGGTTAGAAACTTTAAGAGTTTCTTTCCTTTTAGACATAAAACAATAGTATTCTTTGCTGATCTTAATATTTTTGGCAACTGTGTTAATTTGGCTCCAAACACTTTTCTCCTGTTTAAGAAAAACTGGCAGCTTGCTGCCAAAGCTGTATGGACACCTGGAAGTCTTCAGAACCTGACTCCAAGCTTAAGCACCTAATTCTGAAATTACCAGTGTGATAAATGCCACAGATCAGAACAGCAGTGCAGTGTTACACACATTGTAAAAAGATGATGGATTGGTACTCATCACTTCCATTTGTAGGATAAAACTTATAAATTTATTTATAAAAAAGAAATTTAATTTATTTTTTGTTTAGTCTTAAAAAAACCCACTAAAAATATTGTAACTTGCTATTTTTGATTAAGCAGATTTTCTTTGGGGAAGAGAAAATTCACTTTCTCCCCTTAGGTACTGGTATTTTATTTTTAACATTCTTTTAACCTTCTAACATTTTCTATGGGTGGAGGACCATTCTCATATGGACTTCCTCCCTATTCTCCTAGCCTGGACCTCCCTTCCTTCCCTTCTTAGAGGCATTTGTCATGCTGTGTCATCCAGTCAGATGTGATCAAATAGTTCCTGAAGGCTGCGTATGTTACTGTGAATTACTGTAGGTTGTCAGTGGAAACTACGCTGCAACTGGCTTGGACCTACAAATTAAGAGTTGGAAACTCCTTGTGAACTCAGCATAACTCATGTAGCTGTACGAATGTTTGTTGCCCTGTTCTTACAGTTCCAGCCCAAAACTTAAAGGCTGTTCTGTCCCTGCAATCCCTGCTGAGTAATTAAAGCACGGCTCCCATCTTTGTCTCCCTCTTTACTATGGGTTGGTTTTTTTTTTCTTATTCATGCATATGAAACCTGTTTACTTTTCTTTCATAGGCAAAGGCTTCAAATCTTTGGAGTATCTTTTCCTGATCAGCTTTGTTACTACACCTGTAGCTTTCAGGGTTATAAAAGCATAGGATATTTTCAGTGGAGGCAATCGTAAAGATTATCTTGTTCAATACACCTGCCATGGGCAGGAACACCTTCCACTTGACTAGGTAGTTCCAAGCCCCATCCAGCCTGGTCTGTGGGTTAGCTAGAGTCTATTTGTGTGAGCATTGCAGAAGTCTGTCCTTTCGTAAGTCACACAGCACTGGAGTGACCAGGTTGTTTTCTCTTTATAATTAAAGGTGAGAAAAAGGTCAGAGGACTGCTGTCTGTTCCTTGCAACTACCTAGCAAAACAGCGCAGCATCTGTTGGTCACTAGTTATTGACAAGATAAACTGCGCAATTTTTACCAGAGAGTAGATGTAATCCAATTCTAATATGTTCCAGTCTGAATGATGGGTGACTTCAAGTAATGGTCTTTTTACAGCTGACAGTCATGCTTTATAGGTTATGAGTAACAACTAAGCCATTATGATCCCTTAAGGTACAAAGCTGCCTGGTTCAGAAGAGCACCTTGAGGTTACTGCTGGTTCTGGCTAGGTGTAAAGGAAAAGGAGGTGTACTGAGCAGAGGATAAGACATGAGAGCTGCTCCACAATCTACAGGATTGCCTTTTAGCCTGGTGATCTTGCATGAAATCTTGGTCACTCTTTGCTCCAGTTTGTAGGAGCTAATGTGACTGAGCATAAGTACATTCCTCAGAAGTTCAGCCTGCTTAAAGGTCATGGAAATGCTTGGCACCTCTGATGGCAATACTGGCCTGGTATGTACATTAGTGGTAGGTTTTTTTCTGCTTACAATGAAAAAGTTCAGGACTTTTGCTTACATGTACTATGTCTCATCTTCTCTCCCTCTAAAATGGGCAACATTAAAAATGCTGCCACTATTTGGGGTAGGTTAATGATCAACTGAATATCACTTTACAAAATCTTCTAGTCCACTGTGGGAAAGCAGTGCAGCATTTAGATTACAGTAAGAATTTAACAGTAATGAGAAAAAATGGGAATGGGCAGTTAGTATAAGATGTGTAACTAACTTCAGGGTTTTTTGTGTTCTTTTAATGTAGGTGATACAGATGAGTTTTGCAGTCACTTTGTAACTGTTCTCATCTGACCCCTTTATCTTCTGCTTTTCATTTCCCCCCTTCCCAGGTCAAAAGTTCATTATATGTTCTTGATATTAGATTGTAGCAGCTTTTTGTGGAAGACAGGTATTTATGTCTGTGAAGTAGTCCACTTATGCAAAACACAAGCTGCTGCTTAAGTTAATCATGAACATGTGATATTTCCATATGTGAAAATCGGGTGACCTGTTTGAGAAGATATGATTGTATCAAATAGGTAATGGGATTACCACTCCATCATCCTGCTGGGTATGCAACAGCAGAGGTAAAGACAGGAAGCATGGACTCTGCGTTATGTTAGTGGAATCTTGCCATGGCCTTGAGAGTAGCTGAAACTTGGCTCCATGCATGCAGTCATGCAGCAATCCTTTGGACAGAGTGAACTTTCTGAGTTCTTCTTCAGTGTAGCCCCCTTCATGTTTGAAGAGCTGCAATTCTATTTCATCTGCTTCTGTCTGCCGCTTGTGCAAGCTTTAGCTCTTCTCTCCATCATTAAAGCAGAAGGAAGGAGAGAGGCCTTTGAGATGTGGTTGATTCAATGGTATACCATGCTGCATAATGAAAAATTTCGTGCTTGAAGTTGAATAAGCTGAATGCCTTTTGAATTTTGGTTCACTTTTTCTATATGGGATGGTAAGCATCAGTAATGTGGACTGTTTTCATGTTTCAGATAACTTGTGAAAAAAACTTCCCTCTGCTCCATAAGAGGATTTAAAATACTCCCAAACTGCTTCCTTGTGAGGAAGAGGATTTGAAAGCTGGGGTGCTACCTACCATGTACAGTTTCAATATGCCCTTCACAAGCCTTTACACTGCAACTCAGCAGCCCAAAGAAGGGACCGGGATTTATCACTCCATTCCTGCTGTTTCACTTACATGTTTTTTCTTCTAATGAAGTATATAGCAATAAGTGTACTTAAAACACCTTTAAGCTACTTAGCTGGTAGTCAAAAGGTATCACCAGAAATCATAGGAATCACTCATCATGTTAACTTCTTTGAGAAGTTTTTTTGTTCTCAGTACAGCAGGTTGTTTATATACTGTGAAGTCTTTTCTGCTTCAGTAATGGCACTCACCCTCTAATTTACATATAGAGTGTCTGTTTGCAGAATTGCATATTTCATGGATATTGGGGAAAATACAGTTATCTTCCCTTTTTTACCATGATTTAAAACAAAATTTACTTTTTGTTTGGGGATTTAACATTATGTAATTTATCCACTTTATTGCTTACTCAGTGGATCAAAGCAAAGAGAGAAAGTGGTCATGGTGTTATTTGTTTAAAAGCTGGACTTCATGATCTAGGAGGTCCTTTCCAACCTTAGATTTTATGAGGAAATAAAGTAAAAAGAAAAAGTTGGATTTCCTGAGGTTATTGCTCCTGCAAATGTGTATTACATGGCAGGTGGTTCTTTTCAGAAATAAGTTAGACCTGAATATCAGAAGATTTAGTGGCTTCTTTTGCATGACTGTCAGTATAATACAAGTTGACTTGTAAGAGAGGGAATTGGTAATATATCACAGTGTGTAAATTTGGAGAGCTATAATTTGTACCCAGTTTTCACCTGCAGTGTTAATAACTTGTGTATTTTCATGCAGAATTTTTCCAAAGTGTACAAAAGCTGTGTAAGTGCAGTCTCAAGGTATAATCTTATTACCTGGAGGTGCAATCCATTCAGAGTCTCCATTAGTGTCCCTGCAGTTCTTTTATTCCCATTACCTGCATGAAAACTACTTGCCTGAACTTTTTAACTCCCTAACCATGACAAAAAACCTGTGTCTATTCTTTGTCTTATCTGTAAACACTGACCACATTATAGTGTATAGAACAAGGCTGCAAAATTAGATACAAGCTGAGGTCGTTGGGTAGTGGAAGAGGGACAAAAGGCTGCCTGCCCTTAATACCTGTTTAGTCATGTGGGGGGCAAAGGCTTTTTCTTGAATGTAATCTTGGTTCGGTTTGGTTTTGTGGCAACTCACCTTATTAGATGGAAGATCTTGAACTTTGTAATTTTTTTAACATCTGTACCTGATGGGTAAACCTCAGAGTCTTTCTGAAGTAGTGTTCTGAAAGAGAAGCATCTATAAGTAAATTTGGTAAGTGTGTACATTGCATGATACTTAGGAAATTTGAGTTATGCATGTTTGGTAGCTTCCTCCATGCATGATTAGAAATGATTTTTTTTTTTTTGATTTAACCACATGTATTTCTTGTTTTTGTTTTTTGTTTTCCTTCCCCCAACAGCTGGCTTACCCCTTGGTGTTCTAAACTTGGCCAAAATAAAACCGTATCAGAGAGGCTTTTTCTGTAATGATGACAGCATCAAGTATCCGTTCCATGACAGTACCATCACATCCACTGTCCTCTACACAGTGGGGTTCACCCTGCCCATTTTCTCTGTAAGTAGCTAATATATAGGGAGCTTTGGTGATGGGAGTAAAATGTATGCCTTCCAAGAGCTAAGCACTGTAAATGAGTTGAAGACAAGTCTATATAGGAACAATCCCATAGATATATATATATATACACATTCATATGCATGTTAAAGGTACTGTTGCTACTGTTTGCACAGAAAATCTGGAACTAATCTCTAACTACTAGTGTTGCTAATTTCATTTGCTTTAGGAACAGAAAAAAAGTGTATTTCAACTAGGCTTTTATCACTAGAGAGGAAGAATGTCTTCCAAAATGTTATGGAATGATTACATCTCTTGTTCAGAATGGGTTAGTCTGCTATCTAAAACACTTGTGATGTTAAAACTTGGCACTGTAATGCAGTGCACACACCTATAACTGGTGACTGTTGCTACCATGTACTTTCTACAAAAATAAGCCTAATTTTGACTCAGAAGCTTTTTCTAAGCTTGAAAGTAATGTGATTACTCATTAAAGAAGAGTGGGATAAAATGGGATACAGAGAATGAAAATCTAATTGCTTGTAGAAAAGAGGCTCAGTGTTTTAAAGACCACATGATTTTGACAAAGAACAATTTAATTCTTCAGTAGGTTTTTCTAACAATATTTTAAGCCTGCTTGTATCCCAGTTTTTAGTAAGGTTGAAGCTGATTTAGAGAATCAAAATTTAGTGGTGCAGAATAGTCTTGAACCTGTCCTTGCAGTACTTGATCAAGCCATGTGAAAGATGATGATAATATTTTATTATCTGATTAATGCATAAGATGTATTAATCAGTAAGAAGTATATGAAGTGGTTTAAGGATGGAAGACAGTAATTTAAAACAAGTGAGGTTGCAGAACTTCTACATGCATTACTCTGATTTTCCCATTAGTGCTTATTCATTAAAGCTTCCATTAGACCTCTGCAATAAGTAGGAGGTTGACACAAGAAGTAATCACTAGTATAGTTTTGCCTTTAAGGCAAGTTTGTCACTTTGACAAGTACATATATGTTCAGCACAACTTTGGGAAAATTTATTTTCCAATAGGTTTCCTGTGTACCTTGGTTGATATGGGTACAGGTGAACTAACAATTGCAGCTCTGTGCGCTTTTGGACTTCCAAAGAAATGTTCTAGCTGCAGTTCAATAATCTGATGAATTGCTTGATTTTTTGTTATTATTGTTCATTTTTAAATTTGAATAGGATATAAAGTCAATGTGATATAAAGTCAATGGAGAGTTTGTTTATTCGTGGCTCTAAAGCCATGGAGAAACATCTGACTTAGAGATAATTCACATGAAAGTCTACACATTTAAAGAGTGGTATGGTCTATTATAATTTTAGATAACCTTTGTAGTGAAAGTTATAGCTTAAAATTAGATATCAGTAATTGCAGTCTATTCTGCTATGATACTTTTATAGGAGTTACACAGTGGATTTTCATTGCTTGTCTTTGTGCAGGAAGCTGGATTTTATAATTGGAACAACCACTTCTAGTCTCCATGCAGAGAGGTTTTAAAAAATGTTCTAGAGCACTTACAGTTGTTACAATACAGTCTAACGAAGTCATTTGCTTTTCAGTCTAAATGTTTTCCAAACCTTAAAACAACTACTTAGTGTAGTTAACATGCTAACCTGGCTCTCTTAATCTCCGTTTCAGATGTAGAGAGCTCTTTAGTCTCATGCAAGAGGTGAAGAATTTTCCATAGCTACTGAAAACTAAGGGTTAGAGTAAGCTGTAGATCTAGGGAGTATGAGACATGGAATATTACAGCTCTCTGAATTCAAAGTGGGTTCCAGTTGAATGGTTTCTCTCTTCAAGAGTGCCTTTAGTCAAGATGGACAGGGAAAGTTGATCAGTCTGGGAATCTGAATTCACAATGTTTTTTGTTTTGGTCTGACTCACTGGAGGCTTGAGACTTTTTCCAAGGTGGTTTAAGCTTTTGGAAGTGGTGTGTTCCAGATTCAATACCCTCAAGAGGAACACGGCTCACTCATGAAAGACTTTTGGGCAATAACTCTGATTATCCTACATCTAGTGAAAATTGATGTCCTGACAGGAGACTTTACTGAAAGGGACAGAATCCACAATGAAGGAATTGATGACAAAAATTTCTTCTAGAGTTGATAAATTACACTTTTGCATAGACTTTTCTTGTCTCATCAGACTACATCAAACATGTTACTCATTCCTAAGTGGTAAGACTCTTGTTGCACGATGGGCCTGCTTGTCTTCAGAATGTAATAAGAAATGGCCTGAACATATTGCTCTATAGTAATAATTATAATACTAAAAGGTTTTGTTGGGGTAGGCCTGTAATATAAAAGGCCTGAAATATAAAATAACTTCAAAGAGAAAAAAACCCAACCCCAAAAAACCCAAAACATACATAGGTATTACATAAGTATTTTATTAAGTCTCTTGTACATAAAAGAAACTAGGTTGCATGAATATGAATTTGTTTTTGACATTTTATGAAGATTTACAAGATGTGCTAGAAACTCAGGAATCTTAGAAAATAAAAAAAATACTGTTAGGAATCATAATTCTATTTGAAGCCTGAATCTTGCCATTACCACCTTTTATCAGGAAATAAAATGTGTGAGAAATTCATGTTTATTCTTTTCCAAGTGCCACTTCTTAATATAATCCTTCTCAATTTTCCAAATTGTTCTTTGTCTGAATGGGAACCACAATTTTTGTATTAAAATCTCTTGAGATTTAGGGTCAAACAAGTCTTGGTAGTGGTCTAGAAGACTGAATCTCTCTAAATGGCTTAGGCCAGTGTCTAGAGCAGCACACATTCATAATATATGACATTTAAGGAACCCCAGAAGGTCTTTCTGATACTTCTATCTTGCCAAGACTTTTAGATATGTTTAGATAGTAATTCTGTGAAATTTAAAAGCCATGACTAGGCATTGTCCATGGCTTGCAGCGCTAGGACGATTTGGAAATGTACTTGGTCTGACATTTTTGGTCTTCAGTTGTCTGCATGAGACCAAATTTTTCAAGTGTAAATGAGAAATTAATGTCAATACCTTTTCTCTTTCAGTGAGGTTCCAACTGTGTCTATTTGTAGGTGTCCTGTTCAGTTTAGCTTTTGTCTTCACATTGAGACTGATTTTTTTTTTTTCCCCCTCCAGTCATCTTGTTTCTTTAGTGACATTCATGCAGCTTGCCTTAGCTCCAGGGGTAGGTGACATGGGGGGAGGGAGAAGCACAGAGCAAGGAAAACCTCTCTGAAAAAAACATTCTTCTCATCAGAGCAACAGAACAACAGAGCAGCCTGAGAGTTTTTGAGTTTTGTCTGCTCCCTGTTCTAGGATTTCCGTGGTTCCCTGCCAAGGCTTTGCTTGGCAGTTCTGTCCCACAGCTGAAGGCTCACAAGCCACTGGTAGGTTTCTATTGCATGATGGACTGATGTAGAGAGAAGAGGTCAGAACTTCTAACTCAGCTAAAGGCCTGCACTGAATTTCTGGGAGACCAAGTAGTTCTCCACAACTTGTTGCTACCAAAACAAGTAATGGAAATGCTGATGTTCCTTACAGGGAAGTGTTTGTTAGTAAACAGAGTTTTGGTTAAGTCACTTCTCTGGGATAAACACTGCTCTTTGGACCTCCTTTGAGAGAAGGGAACATGATGGGGCCTGTAGGACTTAATTTTTCTGTCTTGAAGCCAATTAAAAGATATTTGGGTAGCTAGGTTACATTGATTTCTAAGTAGTTTAAATAACAACAAAATCAAAACATTCCTAGGTTTGGTGTGGCAAAATGTCCTCTGTATCATGATGACTTCCCAAAAGGGACCTAGGTAGCTTTGCTCCTGTGCCAGCTTTAGCATATTAGGCATTAGGCTTAATGTTTTTGGGAACGTCTGCTTATTGCATGTGTAACAATGTTTTGACTGAAACTTTCCCTCCTACAGATTAGCACAATCATACTTTGAAGGCACTTTACTGATTTCTTTTATGGCAAAAGAAACTGATCTTTAATGCTTTTTATGAAAGGGATGCATTTTGAAGGGAAACTTTGATTGACAGCAGCTATTAGATTGACCAATATAAGCACTTACTGAGCTAATTTCATATGTCTTCATGGACAAATGTAGTTACTGCTGTGATGGAGATTAATAAATCAGGGGATTAATGAAACCAGTTGAAGACTGTTGGTAAATGTACTTTTCACTTTTTCAGCAGTGTCAAAGCTTTATGACCCACTCTTGTTAGCTTTGCAACTAATTGAAATTAAAACTTGTTTGACCCTAGAGTGGACTTCAACTTGACTCTTAAGTTACTGCTTTCTTTTAAGAGGTTTTATAATGCTCTGAGCAAGACTGCCTCTTATCTGGTAAATTTTTTGAAAAGGTGCTCATGTTTTATCTTCATTGTGTTTTTTGGTGTATTTATAGCATTGGAAACTGTTTTGGGCAATGCTGTTGCACTTCATAATCTGTCATGAGTTCTACTTGATATTAACTGTTCATCTTGTATTACAGATCAGCATTATCTCTAAACCCAACCTTATTCTGATGAATAAACTGCTAATTTTTTGGTTCTCTTTTTAAAGCCAACATAGTAATAATAATCCATGGTTTTACTCTGTAAAGGTTTAATGTCAGGTTAATGCACTCTATTGAGTTGTTGAATTGATGAGTCATTCCTGGCTGAGATGAATGCTGTGGGGCCAGATGTTGAGAAGGAGCAGCATCCAGCTTTTGGCTTCACTTTTTGATGTGTCCAAGGTGTGCGTGTTCTGGTGGGGTTGAAATCAGGTGAGGAAAGATCTGAGGAGCACCATTTGCCTCTGTTACTTGTACAAATCACTCTTACTAAGTACAGTTGTATTTTAAGTAAATAAGCTATAGAAACTTGCTTGGTAGCCCTGTGGACTTGGTACTGTACATTCCTTGGCCCTTCAGGTACATTTCTTAGTACAGTGATGGAGAATGCACATAGTGTCTGAGTAAAACAGTTGGCATTTTGACAATGGGAGCAACTC